CACACACACACACACACACACACACACACACACACACACACACACACACACATACATAGATACATACATATATATTGGGCATCCATAGCTGAGTGGGTGCGTAGAATGGGGTTTACGGCTGTGATAGATCAGTTTCTCAGACTAACTACTGGTCTTGTCTGTACTGGTCTTGTCTGGGGTCTCGAGCGACAGTCTTGCAAGGTTGGTATAAGTAAAGTCTAGCAATTTTCTCACAGGCACGACTAACTCTGGCAGCGTGGTGAGTCCTATTCCATCAATCAAATGCATTGGGCAGGTTGTCCGTGTTCAACCCCATAATGATTCGGTGACAGTCCAACAAAACAGTCTGGCAGAATCATGTTTTTTCTTCGAGTACTTGTGTATGGTGAACATGACAATACATAACGCGGCCTTACTAAGAGCAATGCGGCTAGGGTCGAGACCGTACAAGCGGTGATGCCATCGGGTCTTCATTGTTGAGTGGGTGTGTAGAGTGGGTTTTATGGGTGTGACCTTGTACAGTCTGCTGGGATATCAGGGTTGGTAAAGTCTACCACTTTTCATACCACTTTTCAGAGGTACAGCTAACTCTGGGCGATGTGGTGAGTCCTTATCCGTTAGTCAAAGGCGTCTTGTGCATACTGTCCAAGTTCAACCTCCTGATGATTCGGTGAAAGTCTGATGAAACAATCTGGCACCGTCGTATATAGCGAACATGACAAGACATACTCAGACCAATAGGTGCTGTGAGTTGTCCCTCACGTGCACTCGCGTCAAGTAGAGTCTGGGAGGTTCGTGGTCGATCCATTCTGGGGTGGGGTGAAATGTTCCTCGTGGGGCTTCACTTTCATCCCAGCTTACTTTTCATATTGGTTAAATGATCCACCTCTTTGGTGGTAGGTCATAGGTTCGATTCTAGTGAGTTGATCTTGGACTTCTTGTGTATAAAAACAAGCAATTAGAACCGGTCAGACGCCCTTGTGGCATTGCTTGGTTGAAGTCTGGCCAGTGCCGTGAGTTGTCCCTCACGTGCATTCGGGTCGAGTAGAGTCTGGGTACACCAGGTCATTGATCCATGCTGGGGTGGGGTGAAATGTCCCTCACGGGGCTTCACTTTCATCCCAGGTCACGTTACCTATTGGTTAAGTGATCCACCTCTTTGGTGGTAGGTCATAGGTTCGAGTCCTAGTGAGCTGATCTTGGATTTCTTCTGTATAATAACAAGCACATACTCAGACACACTAAAATGCAAATGCACACATATCAGATTTGAGTTCCCCTACAGTGAGAAATTCACCTTCCTGGGTGTGACGCACGTGCGGAGGGCACGTGCGGAGATGGTGTGTGTGTGTGAGAGAGAGAGAGAGAGAGAGAGAGAGAGAGAGAGAGAGAGATGGACACACACATGAAGCAGCAGCTGAATGAAGGTCCAGTCCGGCGCAATGAACGAATGAACAACTGAGTGAATGAACCTCCCGCCCTGGGCCTAGGCCGAAGTGATATACCGGCCTAGGTCCAGGTACGGGATAACCTGGTACCGGACCAGGGTCAGGCCGACGGCCTGAAACTGGTCCGGCCTCACTGCCGGGTCGTAGGGGTACCGCTACACGATCCTCGGACCTGTGAATGGATCAAGCGATACATCAAACACGCTATCCGCTGAAATAGCGGAAACCCAAAAGGAACGGCAAAAGGACCAATCCTAAATGCGGAGCAGGCTCCATGCATGAAAAGGGATGCAATGCAAGCTAAGCCTCAAGCCTAATCTATACCATAATGTATGGTCTGTGTCGACCCAAAAAGTAGAAAAATGTCTGACCTGTGTCGACCAAGAAAGAAAAAAATGTGTGACCTGTGTCGGCCAAGAAAAAGAAAAATGTGTGACCTGTGTCGACCAAGAAAGAGAAAAATGTCTCCTCAGTCAAAGGGGCTGAATATAAATCAACACCAGGGCCCTAAAGGCCAAAGAATAACTAAACTGATGTCCTAAGTCGAAAACCAATGTGGCACAGTCTCACGTGCCCTGTACACAATGCACAATACCTGAAGAAAAGAGAAAGGGACTCAGTCGCATGGCAGAAGTAGGAATGGGTGGGAAGGCGGCAGGTAAAGCTCTCAGAGTAAACTCCAAGGGGGCACCCACACAACCAGGTAAGGGGTCATCAGGCTCAGAGGGGGAGTAACAGCACGACACCAGGCTCAATGGAAACCATCAAACGGGTACCGCTAGCTGAAAGGGGGGAAAAACACTCACACAAGGGAGCACACTAAGGTGAGCCTGGGAGGAGAGAGGGTTATGCCGGCATAGACATGTGGCCAGAAGCCGCGAGCAAAGAAAACGTACACTCCAGAGGATGGCGCGCAGCATAAGGTAAGGCAGAAGGGTAGCGAGCAGACACACCCACATAGACAGGGAAAATAGGGGTCATCATGCGACTGAAGGGTGGGTGGTGGATAGGTAGGAATGATGGGAACTCCGTAGCCGAAAAAGTGAAGTAGTCCAACTGATGAGTGTCGAGACTAAAGTCGAACCGATGTAGCCTGGATGAAGTAGGGGTACTGCAAGAACTGAGTAGAAGTCCGGAACACAGCGACAGGTACTCTGGTACTGGGGAGAAGCACTGAGGTCGAAAGTTGAATGTAGAAGCCGAAGTAGAAGCCGAATGTAAAAGCCGAATGTAGAAGTTGAATGTAGAAGCCGAATGTAGAAGCTGAAACCGGGAGCTGCTGCGTAAGTGTCCAGGAATGGTAAAAGATAGAGAGCGTATGGGGGATATAGATCAGTCACGAAAACGAGAAGGAAGTCGATGGGTACGCTGAGGGCGAGAGGAATGAACTGCAACAACAGGCGGAACCACAGCCACAGGGGAAGGAGGACCTGAGGCGGGTACCGGTGGAGCAGGCGGACCCATCGATCGAGGAGGGGGAATGTTAATGGCCGCAGAGGTCGAAGGGTCAGTAGTAGAAGGACGAGAAGTAGGAGGGGAGGATGATGAAGGGAAAGGATGAGCACGATCGTAAGCACGCACGAAAGTCATAGCATGCTTCAGGTGCTCAAGAGGCTCCCAAGTAGACTCCTCGTCAGGATAACCCTTCCATCGAGATACTTGAGGCGGGGAGGGTCACCATCAGTCATTCGCCGGGACGCAATATCAGAGACGACAAACTCCTCGTGACCCTCAATTATGATGGGAGAGGGGCGAGGGTAAGGTCAACCATGGAACTCGGGGGGAGACCGTCTGAAGGGGCGCAGAAGAGATACATGAAACACATCATGTAAGTTAGCGCAGTACATGGAAATGGGGAGCTTCAATTTGAAACTCACCGGACAGTCATGATTGGGTCCGCGAGGTGCAAGAATGGTGCATGGTCCAATATATCGACGTTTTAATTTCCGAAGTGTGTCAGCTTCGGGCTGGAAGTGACGTGCGTTGACAAGAACCTCGTCGCCAACTTTGAAGGGATGGTCGATGCGAGAGCAGTTAGCGCGAGTGGCCATGCGAGTCTGGGAATGAGCAATGCTCCCGCGAGCCTTGATAAGGAGCGCATCCATCTCCTTTACCCAGTCATCGAGGGCAGGGCATTTGGTGTCGAGATGGATCAGAGATGGACGAAGAAGGTCAGATGGGACACGGGGATGGTATCCCAAGTCACAGTAGTAGGGAGACATGCCAGTGGCAGGGGAAATAGCATGGTTATAA